GCATCCGGAGTAGGTCCAGCAGAGGTAGTCAGTCTGAGGGGTAAGTCTCCGGCAGGCAAGAACTGGCCCCAGTGTATTTTGCTATCTGGGTGGCTAGGCGTGTATTAGCAAACTAATAAAGCCCGAAAAAAGCTCTGACCTTAGCGAATAAACAGTGTTCCACCAGGATCATGTATGTCAGAAACTGTAGTTTACTGCTGAACTCATTTTGTCATAGTAAAATATCACAGAAATCGAGTAATAACACTTCAGTCTTCTGCCGAAGCTCAGACGCCGCGCTTTGAGAAACTGTCAATCACAGCTGTCAATCACGATGACACGCCCAGCATTAAATTACTGCTAAAAACAAACTGTTTACAAAAATGAGGATCTGCACCTATTTCAGCACAATAATCAGTGCCTTAATCGACCAGAACCATCGTTCGGGACATTTTATTGCAAGTGCAATTAATTTTTTTATTTGGGCTCAAGTCTCCTTCATTAACACGGAGGAGGCGGGCTTTATGACTTGTACTGCAGCCAGCCCCCAGGGGGCGATCTAACGGCCGAGACCTTCACTCAAACGCAGGCTTGCGGCACACTTGGTATGACCTCAACCGATATTTAATTGACTGTGAACAACTCTGATAGTCACTGGCTGCTAATATGATTTACAAATAACAGTGAAATTATATTAAGGAGAAAGTCTGAATGTGCAAATATAACACCAACATCAAACTACTGCAGTCTGTGGAGCTTACCTTTAACTATCTCCTTTCCAAAAATCAGTTTGGCTCCTGGAAATCTGCGTCCACTCCTCACTTCAGACACTGGAATACAGGGAGAAATATCACAGGAGCATTAATGAAGGCTGTGGTCAGTCAGATAATGAAGGTTTATGGTACAGGTGGTTTTATATTCGCACATTTGGAGTAGTACTCTTCGCGCATTTTAAAGAGAAACCATATTAGCAGCCAATGACTATTAAGGTAACGTTAGTTAGTCTACGTTAACGTTACATCGTTCAGTCAATTAGTGCTAATGTTGTTCATTTAGTCACTAAATGCGACTATTTCAGACCGAATATTCGAAGTATCATGGAAAACAATAGTGTTGCCGTGTCACTGTTCATAAATGAACTAATGTGCGAATATAAAACCAA